TTTTATACGAATCAATCAATAATCGTTTAAAAATGCATTAAGTAAGACTTCAGCTAATAGGGTAAAAGCTTTCAGAAAGGCTCGGTGATTTACTCAGGCCTTGGGGGTAGGTGGGTGGGAGTCCTGTCTGTGATGTTTTAGGTTTGCTTTGTGGTTGGATTGCCGTCTTGTGATTATTTTTAGTTGTTGTTGCCCTGCTTTGGTTAATTTTCTGTGTTCTTTTCTTCTTGTCGTGAGCCGCCCAGCCAGTTGGGAGTTGGGCAGTATCCAGATGGAATGAAAGAAATACACTGAATAATAGGAATTAAATAATTAATGCAAATCATGGAGGTCGCAGCATTATGGCTGGCTGGCATAACCTCAACTTTTTTGGTGCGACGCAGAATTCCTAATTTTCTCCCTGACTGTCATGACTGGCCTCCGTTCCTTGTAATTGGGAAATCTATTCTTTTGCTGAACTTGTGAACGACAGAACAACTGTTTAGCAAGCATATTTCTTTGCAACCCACCAGTTTACCATCACTGGGAGATGGTGATCTTCGCTGGCTCCAGCGATGCCACCTTAAACAATAACCCATCTCTGGTGAGGTCAAGCCCTTAGCGACACAGCCTGAGCAGAGAACCAAGGTTCACCCAGAGTTTCATTAATCGGGTTTAACATCAGGGAATGAGGAATCAGGATAGAGAATCCTGGGAGGAGCAAAATTATCAGTTGCTTGAGTCTCTTTTTCCCAGAATGTGAAACTGAAGAGCTGACTGCCTCCGACCAAGTAAGGCTGGCATGACAACATCCCTCTGCTCTTTGTCGGCGACGCTCTGAAATACCCCCTTTCCTTTTCCAGCCTGAGTAGTTCTCTTATAGCTAACATGACACGTGCATTTCATTCATTTTGCATCACTTCATTCATCTTTTTTAAGCCAAAGGTAACATAGCCAGTTCGGTGCCGTGGTGAAGGTGCTGGCCCAGAAACCAGGCGGTGGTGAGTTCTAGTCCCGCCTTAGGCATGAAAGCTGGCTGGGTGACTTTGGGCCAGTCCCACTCTCTCAGCCCAACCCACCTCCCAGGGTTGTTGTTGTGGGGAAAAGAGGAGGCAGATATATAAAAAAGGTGGGATAAAAAAATCTAATAATAGTAAGAGCAACAGAAACAACAACAGACTAAAAATGAAACCTCTTCCGTTGAGATCATCCTTTCAAACAACTACAAAACAGAAGTCTCAAGAGAACGAAAGCGCTCACCTTCCGTGGTTGTTCACAGCTTGAATCCAAAAATCTATCCTCGTGCTGTGCAGAAAGGGGAGACATTAAAAAAAAAGGAAGATAAATGAAATGTTGAAGTTAAGCTGAGGCTCGTGTTAAAATAAATGTCATGTTTCAGAGGCCAGTTTGAGGAACAAACTACATAATTGTGAGAAAAGTATACAATGCTGCTGTGCGGACCATTTTTTGTTGGTGGTCAGAAAATCAGCTTTGGTGGTTCGTGACCTGAGATGTTTCTCCTTTGCCTTACAGCTATTTCTCTACAGTACTTCAATTCACACCCAAGGGGCATTTCTTCTGCACAGGTTTCTAGCTGCACATTTACGTTTGAAACACACACACACACACACACACACACACACACAGTTTGCTCAAACTCAGGTAAGAAACAGGCTGTGAGAAAAGGACAAAAAAGCACGGAACAGCATGGAACAGAGAAAGCTCCCAGATCAATCTCTCATCCTCTCAAAATCCTCAGAATTCTCAGCAATTAAGATGCAAGAGTTTTATAAAGAAACTCGTTTTTTTAAAACACTACAGGGGCAACTCTGTGCTGCCACAAACTGGCACGCCTATTCTCAGGCTGCTTGCCAAATCCTTTTGACAAGGAGGCATCTTTCAGGAAAGTGATAATTGGCCCAAACGGCATTGCCGCTCATAAGGACGGCCCTGCAGTGCTGTAAGAAGAATCTGTAAACCCTGCGTGAATCCAGCGTGGAGGAACAAGGAAGGGCCATTCCACGTTTTCAAAAACCAGCCCCATGTAAAACAATCTGCTACAAGATCCCAGCTGACAGAAAAACTGAGAGCAAGAAAAACAAAACAGGGACACATACCGTAGTGGAGTTTTAAAGCATGAAAGTTCAAAGGTGTCAAGCATATTGAAAAACACTTTCTCTGCTACTTCTTTTGCCTGCCAAGACAAACGATGGAAGAAAAAAAATCAAATCTGATCAATGCTATTCAAAGAATTAAAAAAAAAAAGGTACATGCTTATGTGTTCACCTGGCAGCTGAAGAACCTTAATCATGGAAATTAAACCTGGGAAACCAAACAGTGCATTTTCTTTGTTTACGAACAAAGCATTTTAAAAAATGTTAGTAAGCTCACAAGTGAAGCTGAAGCATCATTATTTAACTGAAAGAGACCTGGGTAAACAGAAGCTTGTTTGAGCTCCAAGATCTTGGGCCATGAAGCTGCCTCAGCCTCAAGAACATCTGGAAGGATGATAACTGCGGCGAGACTTTTATATGCACGAAAATGGAAGGATTTACAAATACCTGCAGCTGAAGAATGCATATTGAAATGAATGGAACTGGCGGAGATGGCGAAACTGACTGCTTCGCTCAAAGAGAGGGCACTGTCCAGCTTTGTTCCTAACTGGAAACCACTCAGACTTTTTGCTTGGCACTCAAAAAAATGCAATTTTGATTTTGGGATTTGATGATTGAAGTTATAGAAATATCTTGTACAAATCATATGTATTATTGAAATAGACTGATTTTAGGATTTTTTCTGAATCTTGGATAAAAAACTATTTTTATTGTGTAAACATTTAGATATTAGAGGCGAATATATTTTACATCTATGCCTGTACCAAGGAAAATCAGAAGCTACTTTTTTTTCATGCTTTTTCCCTTTTTCTCTCTTTCTTTTTCTGTATTTTGACTTTTTTGGAAATATAATAAAATTTATTTAAAAAAAGAGAACGTCAGGAATGACGGCTAAAACTGAAGCAGCTGGGAATACAAATGACAACACTGAAGGAGCTGTGAGGAGCGGTAAAGATCTGCTGCTGTTAAAACAGAGCCTTTTAAGAACAGCAGCCAACTCAAGTTTATCAAGCAATTCAACGTTTCCTTCCTCATCATTTGGCATCACTGCCACCCTTTGGACTTTCCAAGAATGATTCCAGGGGGTTCTCAAATAGTTATACTTCTTGAGTGAGATGGGCAGTGACTAAATTTGAAATATAAATAAATATAAATAAATAT